GAAAGAACAGTGAGAAATGGAATACAGGATGGTGCGTCCACTGTGGCCTTAGTCTTGTATGCACAATCAAATGTAATGGGGAGGCACAAAGGGCCTCTTTGGAGATGAGGCAGTGCACAAATACAGACAGCAGTGTGCAAACAAACCCATTGGAAGGATACAAGGAGTCCAACAAAAGGAAATCTGAAGTTTGGGTTACTTATTAACTGGAGTGATTGCATTTTATTGATAAGTGGTAACTTTCCAGCTGGCAGCATTGGGAGTGGCAGGCTGCTCTCTGCACAGAAACAGTATGCTGTTTGCCAGCAGCAAGTAGTTGGTTAATGTTTTCCAAGAAAATCAGTGCCCTATCTAAACAGCACAGTCAAGCTACAGGTGTGCGCCAGGAGGTCAGTCTGATTCCACAGGTGTAAAAATGCAGGAAAGCACGTACAAACTCAGTTAAAAGCATCAGCAAACAGCTATAAACCTTAGCAGAGAGAGAAAGAAGCACAATGTAAGAGAGGGGTGCAGAGAAACAGTGAAATAAAAAGACACAATATTGAAAGATTTGTTCCATAATTACAGCTATTAAATAAGAATGAAGCGCATTTATTTCAGCATGATTTCTTATAAAAGCACCCAACTCCTCATGTTGATTTTTAACGAACTGCAATATAAATAGGTTCTGATCAGGCTGATAAAGTTAGATTTCCTGCTCCACTCCTCCCTTGAGGTTTACAACACCACATGCATAAGATAACCTAAAGTATGTATGGACCAGTTCACAGCTAGGTTATAGTGCAATGTGCAGGTTAATTGAAGTTGATTCATATTAAAACAATTGAATATTAAATTCCTCACATAACATACAAAAGAGATTTAGGGAACAAAAATTCAAGCCAAGTGAGATAGGGTAAAAAGTGACTGTCATTTTTCTGCATTCGTTTAAGGATGATGACATGGAGCTACAGAGGAAATTGTGCAGAATATAAATCGAAAGACAAATATATACTATGAATAAACAAATCTAAAGAAAATAAAATATGGAAGCAAGTGCACAAAAGAAAGGGATAGACAAGGCCAGGTGGATAGATAGATAGATAGATAAAGAGAGATATAAAAGACACACAAAAAGGAAAGAGGCAAGGAGACAGAAGTGAGAGCAATGTCACCTGATGCAACTCTTGTTAAAGTGGCTACGGAGACACAAAATTCAAGGGGTTCAGAGAGATTTTAGTTCCATAAAAACAAACAAAATTAAATTAACAAAACTTCATTACATACTTTGATCATTACTATTAGAAATACTGCAACATAATTCTATTAATATTGACTTTATCCCAAAAAATTATATTACAATTCAGAAGTATAAAAATAAACTTTATAATAATTCCGCAAACTGGCTTACTTTTGACCATGATTACATTAACCACGCAACATATTTAAAGTATACACATTCAGAAGAACAATTAGAAGTTATATATGTGACGTAGAAAAATATATTTTGGATGTATAATTACTGACACATAAAATAAATTCTATCCCTGGGAGTAGAGTTCCCTTGTACAGAATTAGAAGTCCACAATGCTGCTTAAAGCTGAAGACCGTGTAGATACTTATGCAGATGGACCTGGTGCATCTCAGATACACAGAGGTTGCATCTCCATCAGGCAATGTTGACCTGTTCCTGCAACTGTTCATAAAGAGTGAAACATTTCCCTGTCCAGAACCTTCTCACCTAAGTTGTAGAGAAACTTGGAGTACCAATGGATGCCATTCTCCTGTGTAGCATTGCAATGCCTAGGATGGAGGACTGGTAACAAAGAAGTCAATGAGTGAAAGAGTCTGAGAGGTGCAAATGCCAAATGCGCCCAGTGGTGCTTCTCTATCATTGCATAACAAGATGCCAGTACATTATTCACTAACAGTGTGCCATGAGACGTCAGTGGTGCGTAGGCACCAATGTACTCCTCCACATAGATAGCTTTAATCCTAGATGAACGCAACTGGCCTGAGCCAATCTCTCTTACAAGGACGAACTGACCTGTTCGTACTCGACTAGCAAATATCGGCCTAAAGTTCTCCATTCTGTCAGTGTTATTATCAGAAACAAAGATGAGATGTGCTGCTGTGAGTTCCATCCACAGTCTGGAATCTTCAGTCTCCAGCACAGTGAATGAGATCCTCAGTTGTTCTTCTTTATCGAGGAAGAGAAGGACTTGACTGGGGACCACCTGACCAGCTGCATTTACTGTTAAGACCCTGTCCCCAGGATTCAGCTCTGACACAGCTCGGGTTTTCCCATTTTCCAGTGTTACCATGGCTTTAGAAGGGAAACAGCCACCCGTTTTGGTGGCCAATGAGTTGTCTGAAAGATAAAAAGAATCAGGGATTAAACATCCAGAACTTACTCACCAAATCAGGTTCTCCAGCTCTGTGACAAAAAAATTAAAACAATTAAAAGAATCTTTAAATGAAACAGGATACATTGGCTCAGCACCCCAGGGCACTGCAGTGGGGAAAGTAATTAGTTAGGGTTCCCCATTCCTAATTGCTTTTCAGTGACCCTTTTGGAAAGGGTGCATGTGTGGATATGGTGAGGCCGTGCTGCCTATCACAGTCAAATAACTGGAGAAATACTCACTGGAATGGACTTATATGTCAAGACCACCTTTTAAGAGAGGTACTGAAGGGTTACCAGGATGAGTTTGTGCCTTCAGCAAGGAAAAGAGCTAGGAAATGACAGGAGAAATAAATAAACCTAATGAAAAAAGGTTACCTAAATAAATAAACCTCATGAAAAGAAGAGACAGCATCCTCACGTCATCGAAACCAATGAACTGAAAACACAATTTCTCACTCAGCATGGTCATAACATTCTGCCAGCAGCACAATACATGTTAAAGCTGTAAATATCTTCATCACAAACTGAAGGAGCCCATTGAATACTCTTGAGAGATGAAATCAATTTTGTGGGAAACGGGTTATTCACTGAACAGGAACCAACTTTACTAGGTCACTATGAATTAGGTCATTAATGTCAAAATTGGACACAGGAGGGTCTTTTCCTGCTGTTTTGTTGTTGATTTATTGAGAACTTGAAGGTGGCAATCAACCTTCTGCCTTTAAGGCTGCAATGCACTTAGGAAATACAGTTAAAATCCATCAGCTGGAATGTGCTGGAGGGGAAAGAAGCAAAATCCTATTTATCCAATCATACACATTTGAAAGAACATTTTCATCAGAGATCTTGGCAGCAGCATGAAGGGCAACTACAATTCAAGTATGATGTTTTGATATGGACTTGTTAAAAGGGGATAATATGGCCTTGGGGAAAAAAACTCTTTCAAGAAGCAGAATTGAGATTGTTAGCCTGTAGTTTCTTTTTTAGAAAATATCTTATGGTTTTCTCCAGCTTTGTTTCATGATATCGATGGTCAGACAAGAGAAAAATTAGGCAGCACATTGGCATCTTCCTGCTCTAATTACTCTATAGCCAAGCACTTAAAAAGATTTAAAAGCAGAAAATACTTTCTCACTAATTTTTTCCTGTTCTCCTTGTGGTACCAGAGCTGGCAACTATGAACCACCCAGCAGCAGCTCCACCAAAGAGCCAATTTCCCTACCCGTAGCTCAGGGGGGAAATACTGTGTTACAATTAGCTGAGAGCACAGTGGCGTAACTGACCTGGTCAATACCACACTTGGCAGTAGACTTACCTTTGGAACCATACAGACAGGAAGCGGTTTTTACATTGGTGTTGGGGTGGGTGATTTCGCAGGGGCGGATGGGGTAAACTATAGGCTAGACCCCGAGATTTTGAAGGAGTTGAATTAGTATACAGATCAACTGAGAAAACTGCAGCTACACCTGCATGCATCATTATTTATTCACTGCTTTGAAATGGTTAGGGCCCATACCTCCTCCGAAGCAGCTTCAGCAACAATCTCAGTAGTATTTGAAAGCTAAAATGTTTTCAAATAAACACCACAGCACTGAAAGTAAAGCAGCTAAATGTGTATTTTTTACAACTGGTTTTTGAGAGGGTCAGTGTGGCTGTCATACAGAAGTCACAACATCAAGATTGCACAATCTGACCTAGTTAATAATTATAAATTATGTGGATTGTAAATTTTTGGGATCCTGGGCCAAACTTAATTGCAAGCAAATTTTTGTTATTGCCCACAAGCTAAAAGCACGAGCGGAAAAAAAAATCGCTCCTTTAATCAAACTGAAAAACTGCAAAAACAGTCAAATTTACGAACAGTAATAATGATGTTGCAGTTAGATGAGCCACTCCACAGGCTACAGAAATGGGTTGATGTGTGTCATGTACTTGGAAGGGTTAGCTGGCTTCAAAGTATGGATAGGCTTGGATTATTTGTTACCTTCCTACCCCATCCAGTCCCACATGCTTGGTGTTAAAATGATCCTGGTCTATTCCAGTGTCGCCAGCTGACCCATGGAACCAGGAGAAGCCAGGCTTGATGCGATTAGCTGATCTCAGGCAAGGCAGCAGGAGAGATTAAATTCACCTCAGTCAGGGTTCCTGCTCCAATTACAAACCAGTGACATTGCTTTAAATGTGTGTGCATGGACAACAGATGAGGACAGGATTGGGCTCAGCTTTGGTGTCTTCCATAGTTGAATGAGCTTCCACATGATTACTAATGACTAAGATGGGATATTATAGGACAGATAAAGGTAAATAGTCCTACTGGACCAGAAGGCTGCTGTCTCATTAGGGAGAAATCACTGGTGATGAGTTTAAGCTGAGGGTCACCACACCTCAGGCAACGGAGAGGTTGAGAAGGTGAGTCCGTCATGGTAACCTCAACTGGTGCAGGAATTGAAGCCAGGCTGTTAACATCATTCTGCATTGCAAACCTGTTGCCCAGCTAACTGAGTTAAATAGCCACGCCCCCACCCCCCCCCCCACCAACCCCATCCTTCTCTCCCATCCCCTCCCTCGGTATAGTCATTCAACAGTACTTACCATCATAATTATGCAAAAACATGTGGAGAATGTGTACTTTTAATTACAGGCATATAAAAATGCAAATTCCCACTGAAAAACACAGTCCAAGTAATAAATTGTCATCACAAGACAATAAAACACCAACAGTTACAGTGATTCTAAAGTACTGCAGAGACTGCAGATCTGAAATCAAAACAAAGTGCCAAAAGAAAGTCAGTAGGTCTGGCAGCATCTGTGGAGAAAATAACGGGGAGCTGAATTTTACTATAAATTGACTAAGTGGAGGGTTTCTTTCTGTTAGCCCTAGTGAGTTTTCTTACACTGTCTTCACAAACTCACCGTGTTACCTGTGACTACACCCTTATGCCACCCCACCAATCATATCTGCCCACTCGACACAGGCCACTGCTGGGATCTCCCTGGATTTCTGCTATCTGCACCACCTTTAAAACCCAGCCGTGCACTGGGTCAGGCATTGGCTCTCTGCAGCTGCCCTTCCTGGTTCCTGTCAATTGCCCCAGAAGATAACTATCACCCCACTTTGCTGACAGGGACCTGGGATTCCTGGTGGATGGGGTGGGGCGGTCATTGCCCCTGGAGAATGCCCTGAGATGTTGGTGACTGACGGAGGTCTGATTTGGAGTCAGCAGGTTACTGCTCTGACTTTCATGTCAGGAATTGTCTCTGTGTACTTTCTATCCTGAGGGTGGGAGAATGGGAAGCTCCATATCAATGAGGCCAGGTGATGTCATAATGAGATGTTAATGTATGCTAATCTATGTAAATCAGCCTCTCGCCACTCACTGACGAGAATCACGTCTCACTGTTCAACACTCCATTGGAAAATGGGACTTCTGGCTCTCGTGTTGGGAATCTCCTCACTGCCCATCTCATGCAAATTTTCTCATCAACGCCCACATTGTTCAGTGCTTGGGAAAATTCAGCCCAGAATTAACATTTCAAGTTCAATATGGCTCTTCTTTGGAACTGAACTCAAAATGTTTCCCAAAATTTTCTGAAGAAGGGTCCCGACCGGAAACGTCAGCTTTCCTACTCCTCTGATGCTGTCTGGGCTGCTGTGTTCCTCCAACTCCACACTGTGTTATCCCAGACTCCAGCATCGGCAGTTCTTACTATCTCAAAATGTTGACTCTGTTTGTCTCTCCACAGATGTTGTCAGACCTGCTGAGTTTCTCCAGCACTTTGTTTTTAATTCAAATATTTGTCTCTAAACAATGTCTAGGATCTTGCCTAGTGACTTAAGGTACCAATTAAAATAACTTGCTCACCTTAAATAGGGCTGAACTGTTTATGACAGTTTCTGAGATCGAAATATATTTTATTTACTATACCAAGTTTTATGATTAGATAGTGATAGAACTATTGAAAATATTCAAATAGTGAAACAATCAGGGGTGGATGAACTGCCCAATGTATTGCTAAGCCATTCAGACAAAGTTCACTCCAGCTTTGACATCCTGAATTTGTAGATATCAGCTTAGACAGCAACTGAAGCACAACAGTTGCACCCCCCCACCCCCCACCTCTCCCCACCTGGGCTTACTGAAAAAGGAGTGAAACAACAACCAGAGTTCCCAAATCACCATCTTGTTAGTCCTGCTGAAAGAACTTGATTTGCAAGAATTTGCCTCTTTCGGAAGGAACCAGAGCTTGCAGTAGTCTATTGTTTCCTCAGCCAAATTCTCTGTCCCTATAAGCATTCTTCTCTGTCCTTTATAACATGGAGCCTAGAGCTAATCTCTTAAACAAGTTCATCTCCTTTCAAAAGAACTTCAAAAAAAAATTCCAACAGAAATGTTCACCCTCTCACCCCTAAAATATTATTTATAAAAATATAAACAATGCCTGGAAGCATGTAATACTGTTATATTTTTGACAACTGTATGAATTGCTTGAGGTTCACTCTTGTGGGTCAGGATGTCAGCTTTGTAACCTTCTGAGTTGTTATTTATGTTCTATATAACTTCTCCATCTTTTGCTGATAAATAATATTGTTTAAAATCAGGCCTGATGCATTCCTAGAACAGATCCTTTGTGCAAATCTGTCCTTATCTCCAATCTTTCTAAGTTGCCCAACCCAAGAGCATCATAAGAACTTCGGTCCCTATATATTATCTTCAAAGCTGGCTTTTGGATCGCCGCCAATTGACTGGATGACCCAAATGTTAGGCTAAAACGTGAAACCTGGCAAGCTCATGCCACACAAAGCCTGATCAGTCTTCTGTAAAAGAATAAATCATCAGAACTAAGAGCAGTTCTTTTAAGGCACTCAAAAATAATACAATCTCTTCCAACCCTTTCCATATATGCATGATCTACAAGGATATTCCATTTCAGGTCGTTGATACTGCAATATCAAATTTTAATAGCAGGGCAAGTTGTACTCAATCAGCACCAACTGCATTGAAACAAGAACTGACATTGCCAATAATCAATTGTTGATTCTCACTTGAAAAATGTAGTGACATCCTAAAGCCCAGTGCAATTTGACATGACAATGCCAATGACGAGGAACAAAGCAGAATATGCCCACCCCATGAACTCATATCGGGAAGCAATTTCAACACTAATCCTATTTTTGTTTAACTCTCTAGGTTTGTGGCATTATTCGACCTTCACGGACATAAATGTCTTGCAATTGCTGCTGGATATTGATTGTTGAATATAGAAATTTCCTGTAATCAACAAAAAGGTAAGAACTTGGTAAACATGGACCAATGAAACGACAAATCCCTTTAAATCGCTCTGTGAACATTATGGTCAGCTGCTTTTGTATTATTTTTACCACGGGAGCCTGCAAAGAATAAAAAAAAAAGTCCTGACTGACACACACTGGGAGTTCACTACTGGTAGAAATGCCACAGCTCCCATTTTCAATTGTAGTGATTTGAATAAAGAACTTATTTTTGCAGTTGGTATTCAACCATTTGCTTTTCTTCTAATTCCTTGCTGTTCTCCCTCCTCGCCTGAAGGCCCATGCCTTTGCTGGACAGCTACATCACTGCCTGCAACTCTTGAGTAACTCATCCATGCTTTTCTTCATGTGAGCCTGGAGTTGCAGGTGTTGTGGTCGATAACGCAAATGTTAATGATACCTTATAGCTGCACACACACTTGCTATCCTTGGGGGTTCTCTATTGCTGTCCTTAGGCTTTGAGTCCAAATATCATGTTCGCATCACTACTGTTGCTAACTGAGGACAAATTACACATTAAAGCTGGGACTAGCTTGATATGTACTATTCAGTATTAGTTGACCACTGACCCCTCAGAGTAATTGCAATATTCAGGTATTTGGATGGAGGGTCACCATCATTTGATGACTACTGCAAAAATGAACTGTGGACCAGATATGCAAACCATTCAAGTGCTGAACAAATATACAACTGGAGCCCTGTCAACTTTAGTTATGCCTGCTTGCTGGTGCAGTACTGGTAGCTACTTTTTGTGGCTTTTATGCATATAACAGTTTTTAAATGGAAAATAACAATAACCAACAATTGTATCACCTCAATAATCAAATATAACTATAGTAATTTATTAAAAACACTGGAACCATTTTTTTATTCATTAATTGGACTCAGCCTTTGCTGAATTTATTGCCCATCTCTAACTGCCACAGAGAAGGTTATAGTGAGAAGGTTATTTTGAATGAGTGCATTCCATGTGACCTGCCCACAACGTTGCTTGGGAGGACCTCATAGATGGTAGACAGGCTTTGGGAAGTCAGTAGGCAAGTTGTTCATTCAGAATTCCCAGCCTCTGGCTTGCTGTTGAAGCCATAGTATTTACTATGCTGGACCAATTGAGTTTCTTGTCAGTGGTAACTCCAGGATTTTGAAAGTGGGGAATTCAGCAGTGGTGATGCCACTGAATGTCAAGGGGAGATGGTTCAATTCTCTCCTTGGAAATGGTCATTACCTGACATTTGTGGCACATCAGCCCAAGCCTGAATTTTGTCCAGGTCTTGTTGCATTTCAACATGGACTGCTTCAGTATCTGATGAGTTGTGAATGGTGCTGAACACTGTGCAGTAAACATCCCGACTTCTGACCTTATGATGAAGAGAAGGTCATTGATGAAGCAGCTGATGATGGTCGAGCTGAGGACACTACCCTGCAGAGATGTTCTGTGGCTGAAATGATTGACCTCCAACAACCACGACCATCTTCCTGTTTGCTAGGGCTGACTTCAACCAGCAGAGAGCCCTGACTAAGCATCAGTTAGCAGGCTCTTCTTTTGTAAATGCTGCTTGATAGCACTGTTAACAATCAATTTCCATAGCTTTACTGATGTTTAGTAGACAAATGAGTTGGTAATTGACTGGGTTGGATTTGTCCTGCTTTGTGCATGTAGGGCTTACTGGGCATCAAGTGCTGAGAAGTGTTGTAACTGTATTGACACAGCTTGGTGAAGGGTGTGGCTAATGCTGCAGCACAAATCTTTAGTACTGTTACTGCAATATTGTCAGGGTCCACTGTTTTGCAGTATCCAGTGCCTACAGCTATTTCTTGTTGTCACATGGAGTGAATGAACTTGGCCGAAGGCTGGCATCTGTGGTGCTGGGACCCTCAAGAGGACACCAAGATAGATCATCCACTTGGCTCTTCTGACTGAAGATTGTTGTGAATACTTCAGCCACACCTTTTGCACTGATGTGCTGGGCTTCCCCATCATTGAGGATGGGGATATTTGTCTCTTCCTGTTGGTCGGGGACAATTGAACAACAGCCTTTCACAATAGCACTGTACTAAGCCAGTTTGTATCAATACTGAACTTTGGAAAACTACCTCCAGAATGTTAAGCAATTCAGTATCATTCAACCTCATGGTGATTGTGAAATTTTCATACTTTGATTTTTATGTTGTATTAGGCCTTCAAAGGTACAGTAATAGATTTTGCTATTCTAAATGTGGGATGTGTGGAGAGCCACGCGGCATAACATAGCATTAGGTACTGGTGTGAACAAGATCATCACCAGTGGCATTAGTAACAGGACTAAATTGAGGCGGCAAGTTCA